AATTATTTTTGTCACTAACAGTCGCTCAGTTAGCTAAGGAATTTCTTTTTATCAGACCCGAAATTTTAATATCGTGTTCACCACACGTTTCCTCACCTAAATTAATCACATCCACACCCTCCCTCCTTATTTTTTAAATAAATTTATTATCCTCCCCCATTTACGCCCAGATCCTCTAAGTTATCTATTTCCTTTAGGTTTTCCAAATAAAAATTTGTGTGTGTTTATGATGTCTCCTATACAAATTTTAATCTGGTCACCCTAGTAATATTTCATGAAGAGTAGAAAGGGTAAAGTTGTCCCTGTAATTACGTAGTTAAGCACTACACCTTTAAGACGTATGGGGGGAGTATGGGGTAGATGAAACAGTCTCAAATCCGAGCAGAACATGTAACGTATTTAATATAACCGGCCCAAACGACGTACATGAACTCTTACTTGGCGGAAACTTGAAACATTCACAAACTAGTAACGACAGAATAAGCTTAAAATGTTCAAATGTTTTATTAGAAATACCAGAGACCGAATCGACTAAAGTAGTCCACGGCTTGTAGAATATATGATCAGCAGGACTTGTTTATTAAAGAAATGTGTACCTTATGTGATAAAATCATTTTTGGAATTAGTGAGTTAATAAGAGAAGGTTTATTTTCATTTGCATTAAAAAGAATCCGTATTTAATTTAATTTATAAAAAAAAAGACGAAAGAACATAAACAATTATCACTCTGTTACTCCTGTCCCAACTCTTTCAAAGATATTGGATAATGACCAGTGACACTGTAGTAGTAGTTTCCGTAAAGTAAGTAAGTAAAGCTATCCCTCTAACAGGCCGTGGAGCCCCATAGGGTTGTGAGACGTCGAGGCTCCTAAATTTTCTCCAGACAATCGGCTCACAGATGGCGGTAAGGTTGTCAGCTTTACGCGCCGGTCGCCCTTTACCCTCAAGAACATTCCTGGTACTCATTTCTGTTAGAGGCTGAGTCGACCCCAGGGTCATAGTGCGGCTGGAAGGATTAGGTTAATTGAAAAAAATCCAATGACCTCATCGGAAATAGAACCGCGACCTTCCGGCTTGTAGCATAGTGCCTCAACCAACTACGCTAACGCGTGTCCTATCTGTTTAAAGTAGTCAGTTTTATTTCTGTTCACGTATTCGTGAGATATTTATGTTAAAATTTGTAAAAATAACTTTAAAAAAATACTCCTACACCTTTGGCAGAATTTTGTCAGCGCTTAATTATCACACTATGAAAACATATTAGGGAATGGAGGCATAGCTCCACGCTTTCTTAACCTCGTCAGCATATGGATTTCAAAAATTGTAACGCTCTAGACTCGCGCTCGGATGTACTCTGTTCGAATCTCAGCTGGGGAATAAGATAAGATTCTTCGTGGTCTTCCTCAGTCCTTCCAGGCTAACGCGGGGGCAGTATGTGGATTAGGCCACTTCCTTCCG